GTATCCCCCTTGTTATTTCTTGTAAATTCGAGCTCTCATCATCACCCCTATCTGATTCACTGGTGCTCGCTGCTGCAGCTCTGCTTGCTTCCCCTCTGCAGAGCACTGCCTTCGTCTTCCGAGCCTCTACTGCTGAATACCAGCTGCCAGCTCTTCGGCTGGGTTAAAAATGGCCAAGGACAGTAGTAAATTATTGCAGAGCTCATTCACTTTCTTTTCCTGCAGAGTTTTCAGCCTGGGAACCTGTGAACCACATCCTACTGTCTCTGAAAGGCAACTAAGCAAAGATAGCGCGTTGTCAGAAGGCTGAAGCAACCGCCTCCCACTGGGGCCTGTGGGAGGAAGCCCAGCTCATTTAGAGGAATAAATCCTTTCATTTACTGAGCCCTATTCAGTCCCATTCAGCCCCTCTCTTGACAGAAGGATATGAGTGGACATATTGGCTCAAATGGACTAAAGCCCGATGTAGCCCACCATCCTGTTTGAGGTTTGCCAGAAGTGGGTGACTAGAAAAGAGTAGAAGAATGGGGTATAAGAACATATTTATGATGCTTCCCAACCATTTTCTGAGCCTCCGGTCATTCTCGTCTTGGGGATTTCCTGATCTGGCTGGATGTTACTCCTTGGTATTTGCTCTTTCTCAGTGATGTTGTTGCCATAGCCCTGGGGGTTCCCAGCTGCTCCATGAAACCCTGATTGGGGGAATATTTTCACTGTTCCTATCCCTGGTTTAATACTGGGCTGAAATCAGTTGGTTAAGCAGAGCTGTGGGATCATGTTCACCCTCACACTTTTACTGGGGTGGCCAAGGCCACTGCTAAATTGATGCTTAATGGTTAAGCAGAGCTGTGGGATCATGTTCACACTTTTACTGGGGTGGCCAAAGCCACTGCTAAATTGATGCTTAGGAAATGCCATGCCCCATCCTCTGCTCCTTTACATCAAAAGCATAGTCCTCACTGGCCTCACTAAGACAAGATCTAGGCTCAGTGCTTTCCTCTGTCCACTCCTAGTCTGGTAAGGAGCAGGTCCATACAGAGAAACCTTGAGATAAAACCTAAGCCTGCTCCTACAGGCAGAGGAGCAAGGAGCTGGGATGTTCAGAGCAGAGGGAGCTCCTGAGCAGCAAAGTGAGGATGGGCTGGGACAATGTATGAACTAAGAGAAGTGGATGGAGAGGCTGAGACACCTACGATGATGTAAAAAATGCTCCCAGGACTGTGTCTAAATGGGTGATGACAAGGGAAAACCCTCCCCAGACACAGAGATCCTCTTTGCCAAGCTTTGTCCCTGGGGACATGAGATGTGAAGGCAAGACCTGGGGCAGGGCAACCTTAAAATCACAAAAGCAAAAAATATCAGTCTGGGAGGTCTACATGAGATGTGAAGGCAAGACCTGGGGCAGCAACCTTAAAATCACACAAGCAAAAAATATCAGTCTGGGAGGTCCTAAGATGATTCCTGACATATGTTTGTGCGATCTACTCTTAAAACTCAAAGACTCAGCCCTCTGTAGATAACCCGTCCTCATGTGTAATTACCTTCACAGTTAGAAAGAATATATTTTTTCCCCAAATGCCTACTGCTAAGCTCTGTTGTTAAACATTGAGCTCATTCTTTTTGTCGTCCCCTTGGTATCTATGGAGAGCAATTGACTTCTGCCCTCTTCATAATTACCTCTTGCATATTTGAAGACTGTAATCAAGTTCCCACTTCTCTTTTCTAGGCCGCCAAATACTTTGTTAAATCCAAGAAGTATCTCAGCTACTAGTTTCCCCATATTCATTATGTCAGACGTCCTGTTCCCAGCTGGTGGGAAGCATCACTCTCACCCAGACTCAAGTATATGGGAGCCCGTGATGGCTGCAGGGATGAAGGCAGAGCGGGATGCCTGTCACTGGCACCCTCAGCAGTGGGTATTTTGGAGCAGGCAGCGATGGGACATGAGGGAAATGCCTCCCCGTCATCCTCTGGCTGCACCCTGCTCGGCAAGGCAGGGCTCGACAACTTGTCTTACAGTTTTTAAGGAGCAATCATCCCCTGCCCCTGCACAGGAATTGCTCTCGCTGTGGCGTCTGCCTCTTTGGAAACCAGGTGAAACCGAGCAGGAGCACAAAGCGCTGACTTTTCCAGCCCAGCTCAGCCTCTAAAGGAAGAGGTTCCCTTAATTGCTTGAAATCCATCACCTTTCTGTGACGGTGGTGTCACCTTGCTCTTGCATGAAAAAAAAAAAAAAGAGGCACATTTGATTTCCTCTCTCTCCCCTGAGCCTTGCTGGCTCTCCCCAGCCCCAGCAGCAGCCTCAGCGCAGCCTCTCCAGGCGATAGAAAAAGCTCTGGGGGCCCCCAGGAACAAACTGCACTTGGCACCGACGTTTTCAAAAGCCTTTCTTGCTGTGATTACGCAGGAGATACGATGTAGGGAAATTTCCCCAGGGTGTGGAGCAAGGTGCACAGGGCTAAGAGACAAAGCCACGGCTTGGATTTTTGGTGGTTAGAAGCTTCTTGTTGTACAGAGATGAAGGCAATTCGCCCTGCCCGGAGGAGCTGCCTGCCATTCTGCATTGTAGCATCCCCACCTTGTGGTGCGGCGCCGGACTGACTGCGAGCCCAGCAGCCTCCCCGTCCCCTCCACACTCCACAAGCTTTAGGGACACTTGGCCATCGGGCTTCAGTGTGGACCCTCCTCAGGCGCTGACCAGACCTTCATTGCAAAGACATACATAAGCGTGTGACCTGCATCTTCTTCTAGACAGGCGCTGAAAGGTGTGGAAAAAGTCCTGGATAGATGAGGAAAGGTTTGTTGGTCGGTTTGTTCGGGATTTTTTTTTGTGATGCTGCTTAAATCTTTCCTTCTGGAAAGGTTGTTGTTCTGATGCCTAAGTCTGTATCAGGAAAATTCAAAATGTTACTAAAGGTTTCCCAGAGGTGTCACACAACTGGCCAGCACCTTGTCCTTTGCTGCTTTTGCAGGAGAGAGTCTCAGAGGTGATTTGTGAGCTTTACTGAAGGTGTGTTTTGCAAACAAAAAAGATATAGCCATTTGTGATTCCTCTGCTAGTGCGGTGAGTAGTCACCCATCTTCAGAAACAACAGATATTTCTAAACCCCGCTGATTACTGATCAGTTCAGTGAACTAATCCATCATCTGTAACGAGGTGATAATGAAAGATCTCCTTTTAGGGGTAACGGTTCAGAGGAAGCCAGACATTCTTCTGAAAGACCTGGGTGTTCTTCAGTCTCTGAGAGCACCTGCAGGAGGATAACCTAAGCCCAACCTCTCCCTTCCCAGGTCTGATGCTGCGAGCTCCCTGGCACATGCCCTGTGGCCAGAAAACACTCAGCACCTCCCAGCAGCAGAGATGAAAACCTGTTAAGGAGGGAACATGGGTGGGAGCCCAGCATCTTCCTGCCCTGTGTTAGGATGAAATAGCTGCAGTCCTTGATCTTTGGGGGAAGGTGGCAGGATATTGCGTCTTGTAAAAAAAGTAGAATAGAATAGAATAGAATAGAATAGAATAGAATAGAATAGAATAGAATAGAATAGAATAGAATAGAATAGAATAGAATAGAATAGAATAGAATAGAATAGAATAGAATAGAATAGAATGAAATAAAATAAAAAATGTGTATTCTGCACACATTGACTATGACAGATCCAGGTAGATGCCTGATACCCCAGGGCTACATTTTCTCCAGCGCTTTTCAGCACTCTGCAAATAACAGAAACAATTTATAAAAAGATAAAACTATCAGTGACTTTGACTAGCCCAGAGCTCCCTTCTCTCTCCCACTTCTTCCTTGTGTATCAAGGAAAGAAGACTATTCACATCCATTCAATGGAGGAGCTGATGGCTCGAAGGAGCAGGAGATGACCTCCTCCCTCCCGCTTCCTTCTGTGGCAAAGGGATGAGGATCTGCAGGGTTTCTCTTAAAAACCTTCTCCCCGGGCCCGCTGGCTTTGCAACCTGCTGGCGAGTTAATGTGAAACAGAGCCCTGGAAAATGCAGAGGGCGAGAACAGCGAAGCCTCCCGGGGGTGTGGGGTGGATAAATCACGGGCAGGCCGGCCGGGAGGGGAGTCGCGGGGCCGCCGAGTCGTAAAGGCTGGGGCTGCTCCATAGGCCTGGGCCGCTCGCCGGGGCTGCTCCTCAGCTCGCTGACAGAGCTCTGCCTCACAAGCCCAGTCTTCAAAGCATTCCTGTCTTTACTGTCGAACGCACCAAATGTCTCCCACAGCTGTTTAGTTGGTTTGTGAGCCTTGTTAAGTGCCAGGTTTATCATAGCTTTCCCAAGGAATGCGTGCTCCCAACAAGTAGCTGAAAGATATTGTCTGGTTCAGCCAGCTGAGGACTTCAGCCTCCTCAGAGCAGCCCAGGCTCTTTGGAGACTAGCTGGGAGTGTACAATTAGTTTCTTTACCCAGGCAAACGCTGGGCAGTTTGATGTGTTTAATTGAACCTGATTGTCCTTTGAGTTAATGTTCTGCTGGGGAGCGAGGTGCAGGGAGCATCAGCATCATCACCCTCACAATGGTGGAAAAGCCCCAAGCATCGCTTGGGAAGCCGTTCAGATAGTCATAGGCTTTCAGACATGAAGCCTTTAATCAGTATGTTTATACTAATGTCACCATAAAGAAATACCTGTCACCGAGGGCTTGTCCACCTCCAGCTGGCAGAGCCCTCTGAGCAGACAGCCTGCAGACAGGCAGATCTAACGCTGTTATCTGCACCTTGCGTCCTCTCCACGCCGTAAGCCAGAAAAATTTCCCTTCAGTGGCCACGGCTGCATCCAGATCAGGGTTTGTTTTTCTGTTGGAGCAATATCAAACCGTGCCCACCCTCCTGGCGTAAGGCGAGATGTCTGGGAGCTGTACCCCAACGCAGCCCGCGTCCCTGCGGATTACACCTCGCACAAGCTACTGGCTATTAAAGTTTCTTCCGCAGCGTTAAGCAACTCTAAGCTTTCTTTGAAGTTCACTTTAAAAACCTCTCAAAGCCGTAATGGGCGATGTGAAGGTGAGATATATAATGGCCACAATAACCTTATAAAGCACACAGAGAGACAGCCAAAGTACTTGAGTACTGCGGAGTACCGAGTCACAGAGTAAATGGGCTTAAGAGCCTGCCTCTCTCATTTGCTTATTCAGCTGATTGATGAGACCATAAGCTCCCCATCTGCAAGCTCTCTGGGCTCTTCCTAAGCTGGGTTTGTCCATGACACATGGTTAATAATATTAATTATTGTCTCTCTCATCTTCAGGGAGAAGAGCGCGCTCCGAGCCAGAGCAGAGGAGAGCCCCTCTGGTCATGGGCTGCAACCCGGGCACAGCGGGCAGAGGCAGAGCAAAACAGGGAGGTGAAATATTCGGGAGAAACATGCCAAGATGGGGTTTGCCCTCCTTTTGCAACTGGTAAGAGGAGGCTTGCAGACGGGCGCCGCGTGCCCTTGGATGGAGGACACAGGACAGAAACTAAGCAGTGATTTAAAATCCTTCACTAGGGGATGATAAAATTACAGTATGGTGTGAAGGCATGGAAAAGTAAAAACTATAAACTAGGACAAAACAGATTGTGAGATGATAAATCAACTCTGCTTTGAAAGGGATATGAAGTTAGGTCACTGATGAAAGTGATTATACAAAGCTCAGATTGTACAGCACGCCGCTGTTTTCAGTGCAGTCTTAAAGTTTTGAATGTGAAATTCAGAGTCAGAGACACAGATTTACATAAGTTGAAACAAATAGTTATTAAAAGATAGCCTGAAGAACTGAATGGAAATCCTAACTGAAACCATGTAGAAAAGAAAGAATTCCGTTGGAAGGAGAAAGTGTGAGAGTGCAAGGGGTGGAGGGACACACTTCATTTCCAGAAAAGTGAAAAGAAAAAAAATAAGGTTTAAAAATGTTACAAAATCTGCTTTTCCTCCATTCAGCTTCCCTGGATGTGAGTGTTGGTGGACGTCAAACTGCCAGCAGTTCAGGTGTCTTGTGCTTCCCTCAGTGGCAGTAGGAGGTTGGATGCCATCCCCAGCCAGACCCCAACTCCAGCTTGGGTGGACACCTTCCTGAAAGAGTGGACGAGAAGCTGGAGCCATATTGGCTTGCACTGGGATGGTGTCACAGGCACCAAAACATTTCTTAATTTTTCCTCCTTGGGATTAGTTGGTTTTAAGTCCCAGATTGGACCACCTTAAATGAAAGATGGTTTGACAGGACAAGGGGTAACAGTTTTAAATTGGAAGAGGGGAGATTTAGATTAGATACCAGAAAGAGATTCTTTCCTGTGAGGGTGGTGAGGCACTGGAACAGGTTGCTCAAAGAAGTTGTGGATGCCCCATCCCTGGAGGTGTTCAAGGCCAGGCTGGGTGGGGCTTTGGGCAACCTGGTCATGGCAGGGGAGTTGGAACTTGGTGATCTTTAAGGTCCCTTCCAACCCAAACCATTCTATGAGTCTATGATTCTATGATGGTGGTTGTTGGGATTTTTTTAGTGTATGGATCAAAATAAGAGGAATTGAACTGGATGCAACGGCTATTGCACTTTTCACTTGATTCTCAACTTAGCTATAGTTACAGAAATATTTAGCCTTTTTCAGTGATCCTAGCAATGAATATTCTTGAGATAAAGGGGAACATGTTCACAAAATCAACTCTGCTGGTCATGTCCCACCCAGCTCCAGCCTCTGAAACCCATGGATTGGATTCTTCCTTGGCATAAGAGTTACAGAAAGAATCAGTTTGATTTGATGAGTCAAAAGCTTACCCAGCATCAACCTGGGTTGACAGTTTCACTTCAGCAAAACCAGATTATTTCAGATGTCTATTAAACTGGACTGACTGGTATTCCCATTGCCATGTATATACACACACATACCAGACAATAATCTCCTTAACAACCCACAGATGAATTCCTTAGCTTATGAATCTGCCAGAAAACACATAATTTTCCCCATCAAGGAATGTTGCTTGGCACATCTTTAATATATCACTTACGCAGCCCTCAATCAACCTAAATGATTCATCTAGCAGCATCTCTTAGGCGAGGCTTTACGTGATTGAATGGTTTATCCTCACTGAAAAAGCACACACCATTCAGTCCCACGTATGAACTATAAAAGTTATTAATAACTAGGAATTATTTAGATAAGAGCCATGAGGCCATCTTTAGCCCGGGTGACTGCAGCTGGACTGCTTTGAGCTCCGTCAGTAAAAATCAGCCAGAATTTGCCCCCGTGGGAACAGATCAGAGGCTGGCAGGCTCAACAGCAACGCATGCATCATATTTTATGTTGTGTTTTGCAGTTTATCAGCCTTCGGATTAAGATTTATTGGTGCTGCCTTGCTGTTTAGTGGTCGTAACTCACGACGTGCTTGTTGCTTTGCGGCGCTGCTCTTGCACCCGTGCCCGTGACGGAGGGGCTGGTTCTCACTGCAGACGTTTCCATCGTACCAAACTGTGGCCCCTTGAAGGAAAACCATCTCAAGCAGCAACACGGGTCATCCATGTCTCTACCAGGCTGCTCCTCCTCTTTACGTGGTGTCTCACATCCATAAGAGGCCAGGGGACAGAGCTCTTCACCCACCGCTGTGCTCGGCTGTGCTACGGGGTTGACCACCTCCTGGATGGAGACGCCGATGATTAGCTTGAGGACAGAGCACAGCAAGCTGTCTGAGCCAGCACAGCCAGCACATTGTCCAGGGCACCTGGGAAGTCATTTTTCATCTGTGATATCTCCCTCTCCTCCAGGGCTGGATGAATTACGTCAAGTTCCTTGGACCCCAGACAGGCGAAATGGGGTTATAGCGCCATGTGATCTCAGCTACAGTTCCCAGCCCAGCCTCCTGATGTTGTGCACAGACGTGGTAACTTGGCTCCTTTCCTGCTTGGAAACATTTGTTTGGATGGTCTGAGACTTTCTCAAGGTTGTGGACCCCCGCCATAGGGTGTTACATGGCTTTAGATAAGAAATCTCCATAAAACTGTAAGCAATGTGTCTTCTGCAGTAAATCTTTTTTCTTAGTCAAGAGTGAAGCAGTCACATTATGTTTCCTTACATTGCAGCCCACCTGTTGCAAGGAAAGTGCCAAGAAAATTATACACCAGTGGGAAAGTGTAGATTGCATAGATGGCTTGGACCCAGCAAGAGCCTGTGTGGCTGTGGGACACACATTAAAAATTACCCCCATCTATGAAGCTTTCTTTGTGCAATCGGAAGGAGGGAATCCCTGGCTAGATGGAGACAAGTAATCTGCTGGCTCAGACACCATAGCCCTAGCTGCTATCTCCCCATCCAAAAGAAAGAGGATTGCATGGATGTTGGACAGACAGATCCTGTGTAGCGTGGCACTGTGGTGATCCTCAGGGTGCCTGAGGCTTGAGGAACAGCCTTCATTTCCCTGCCTGAACCTGGTGGCTCCCTCCTGTGTCGTGTGGCCATGAGTGAGGAGTCAGCTGGAGACACTGCGTGTTGCACACTGCACCGTTGGGGTGTGCAGTGCTGGTACAAGCCACCCTGGTAGACAAAATAATGGGCTTGCTGGTTAAACTAGAGGTTTACAAGTCCGGAAAAGATTTCTTGACATTGAGTGGTTTAAATGCCCTTTATTTAGTGAATAATTATTGCTAATGCAGTATTTCTGAAAAGATTTTTAAAAGCCCGTCAGAGCCTTGTTCTCTGCTGTCAGGGAACATTTTGCTTTTGCACCAGCACCTGTGCAGCCAGCATGAGGATGGATGGGACCTTCATGGCCATGGGGTCTAATCCTCATTATTTGCTTCCTATAGTCCCATCTCTGAAAAGTATCATTTTTCACACTCCCGTTGGGGTTCGTCCCTCCCACTTTGACTGAGAAGTTGCTCCTGGAAGTTTCTGCTGCAAGGGCTGGAGATGGCCCTCCCATCTGCGGTGCGCAGGGATGCCCGGCCAGCCCGCAGCCTCTGCCCGTGTGCCAACACTGCTTCCCACAAAAGTACTTTTGTTTTATATTTCTCTTCCTCTGTAGCACTGTCATCAAATGAGCTAATTAAAAAAACCCCAAAACCAAAACCAAGACCAACCAGCTGATGCAGCAGCGCTGGGTGCTGGGTAGGGAGCCACCACGGATCTCCTCCTGGGGCCACACCAGCCTGGGAGGACTCTCACACCAGTGACACTTCTGCAGAGGTCTTCTCTCCTGCAAGACTGATGCTTACCCTCCTACCCTGTCCTGAGCTGTGTGTGAGAGGGGGGACCCGCAAAGCCGAAAATACCCATCCAGGGGTAAATAAACAAACCAATAAATAAATAAGTAGATCTCACTCAGGGTGCAAAGAGCAAGGGGCTCAGGAGGCAGCTTGGCTATCCGAGCACGGCAGGAGGAGCAACGTGCTGGGATGTGGAGCAGCTCAGCTGTGATAGCTGGCGAGAGCCACAAGATGTCTCTGGAAACCAGCATTTGGACAAAAAAGGCATTAATAACCCCAAGAAAGGGGCCGGGCTCTTTCCATCTGCAGTGAGCGCTGAGCCCCGGCGATGTCGGCTCCACTGAGCCTGTGCGGCCCCACTTGCTCAAGCCCCCTCTCCATCACCGTTTACTCCAGGTGAGAATTTGGCCTGTGAGGTTGCACCCATGGCATTTCCGCAGTGCACGGATGAGAATTGTGGATCAGTAAAATCACCAGTGGATTAAAAACTATATTGGCTTCTGAAGTTGTGGGACAAACAGCAAAGCGCCTACACCGAAAACCAGATTAGAGAATAATCACAGTGTGGCAGGAAACAGTAAAAACAGGAGCAGTTGTCTCTAGGAGCCCTTCTGCCACATGTTCCCTGCACACCAGAGCAGTGTCTGTGTGGCTTTGGATCTCTGGGGGTCCATGGGCACCGTGGGGCACAGCAGAGCAGTGCCCACAGCTGGCCGGGGTCTCAGCCCAGAGCAGAGATGGATAATCCCTTTCTCCCTTAGGGTACTGCCTCTGCTGCAGGTCACCCCTGAGAGAGCTAAAGGAGATATTTTCAGCTTCTGAGACGTTCCCTGT